GTGAAGATCTATCCCCATATTTTCTTCTAAGAGTTTTAAGATTTATTTATTTATTTATTTATTTTTAGAGAGAAGGGAAGGGAGGGAGAAAGGGAGAGAAATATTAATGTGTGGTTGTCTCTCGTGCACCCCCAGCTGGAGACCTGGCCTGCAACCCAGGCATGTGCCCTGACTGGGGATTAAACTGGCGACCCTTTGGTTTGTGGGCCGGCACTCAATCCAGCCAGGGCATCTTCTAAGAGTTTTATAGTTGTAGCTTTTACATTTAGGTCTTTGATCCATTTTGTATATGGCCTGAAGTAGAGATTCAACTTCCTTCTTTTGCATGATGTTCGAGCACCTTTGGTTAAATAGACTATTCTTTCCCCATTGAATGATCTTGTTGATCCTTATCAAAAAGCAACTGGCCATAGATATATGAGTTTATTTCTCTGAAATGCATCAAAAAGTAAGGTGGATGGATGGGTGGATAGAGAGGAGGGCAGGTGGATAGAGATGCAATAAGGTGAGTAAACTGCTCATTGTGGAATCTAAATGGTGGGCTCTACACAACTCTTTCAGTAATACAGTGTTGGTGGTGATCATGGGTCACAGGCCTGCACCACAGCCTTCCTGTATCAGAACCCTGCATTACCACATGGGTTTGATTGCTTTCAGCTTAGTGCCTTTTGAGCCTCCGTTTCCTCCTGTGTAAAGGTCCCTGGCAAGGGTTTGTGGATGAAATGAGCAGACATAATGATAGCAGCTGGCACCATGCATGGCCTGTAGTAGTGGTGGCAGAAGCAGCTGCTGCTGTTACTATTAGCCTGGAAGGTTGGTTCTTACTGCCAAAAAGTGGATTTTGCTTAGAGGTTCCTCTGGAAAGCCAGAAGTAGGACTGGTCACCCGAGTGTGCATGGAAAAGCAGGTATCACCACTGGTACAGGGAGCCCGGGACTGTTGGTCATTGAGGTGTGTAATTCCACCTCTCCCCACTCTGGCCTGGGCCTGTGGTTTCCACGGCTGGGGCCTGTGGAAAGGAGGATCCCATGTTCTGGCTTGAAGTCAAGAAAAAGGGGTACCAGAGGCCAAGAAGTGTCAGTTTGTCCAGTGACCTTCTGGTGACATTATGTGAGTGAGGGAATAGGAAGCCTGCTTGTCACTGGGTGGGGGAGGGCATTAGCGACAAGTAGGTAAGTAGGCTGGGCCTCAGAATCACTTTAGGATTCAACTCACCCTGACATTGTATTATTATTGAAAGAGTTATATGGTGAACACCCATGAGTACACCATTTAGATTCCACAATGAATAGTTTACTCACCTTATAGCATCTCTGTCCACCTGTCTTCCTCTCTTATCTACCCATCTCCATGCACCTTACTTTTTGTTGTACTTCAGAGAAAGTTGTGGACGTTTATACACTCTCCAGCCCCCTGCATACTTTGGCATGCGTCTCATTAAATTTGAAGTTGTGTGGGGTTTTTTTTGTTTGTTTGTTTTGACAGAACTTGTATTTTTTTGTTTTTAAACCCCCAGGGAATTTTTTCCTCGTGATGACCCAGGATAGTGGGTAAGAGTCCCCTTCACACATGGGCTTGATTATTGCAAGGTATCTGAGAGAGACTCTTTCTTTGTTCCGGGTGGGGATCATATTCCCAGGCGCCACCTCTTAACACCTGTGTGGTCCTGGGCAGGTCACATCAACTCTCCAAGCTTCAGTTTCTTCATCTATAAAGTGGGCTTAAGGAAAGCACTTTCTCCTTAGGGTTGTCTTGAGACTGTACATGGAACATCTGGCATGGTACTTAGCCCATAGTAAATCCTCAGCTAACTACTGTTGTTCTGAAGATGCTATTGCATGTATATCCTTCCAGAGCAAACCGCTATTCTTAGGGTGGTAGGGTTTGAGCTTTGTTCCAGGCAACCAGAAGCATTTTTGACCTTCCTGGAAACTGGTAAATGGGTAGGTTAAGTGTGAGGCCAAGGCCCAGAAGTCCCCTTGCCTTACATTTTTTCCTCAGGGGCCAGGAAATCCCTTTCTAGGCGGCTTTGGAAGCAGGGGCCAATGGGGTTGTTTCAGGCTCAGAGTGAGGATGATGGGTAGGGAGGGAAATAATCTTCTGTGGAGGTGAGTCTCCCCCGCATGTGTCAACCGACCCCAGCCGTCTGTTCACAACTTTAATTTAAGACTCCAATTTTGCAACTCCAGGAGCTGGTGAAACACAGAAGCCCCTTGGGTATTTTTCAGGAGGTTTCAAGGAGCTGCATGTTAGTTAACACACAAGCTGCCCAGGCAGCAGGAGAAGAGCTCATATTACAAGGACCACTTTTGCAGACTGCCTGCCCAATGGGCCAGAGTCACCCACAAATGGCTTTCAGGGGCACACAGCCTTTGTTAGACTGGTACAAGTTGACAACAATTTTATTTATTTATTTATTTATTTATTTATTATTTTTAATCTCACCCAAGGACATTTTTTTCATTGCTTTTTTGGGGGGAGTGGGGAAGGAGAAAGAGAGATTGATGTGAGAGAAACATCAGTTGGTTGCCTCCCATGTGACCTGACTGGGGTTCAAACCCACAACCTAGGTATGTGCCCTTACTAGGAGTCAAAACCACAACATTTGGGTTCACTGGGTGATGCTCCAACCAACTGAGCGACACCAGCCAGGGCACCAACAATTTTTTTAAATGTGGAGATTACACATTAAAATGTCTCAAAATATCAAATCTGGCACTACTGAGCCCATTGGCTGAGTGTGGCAACCGTTGGCTGAGCATGGTTGGCCTCTTTATTGTGGCACATGAATGCCAGTTTGTCACTGCTACATCAGGGTTACCTGCCAGGCCACTCTTGGCGTCTAAGCATGAGCAAAGTATGGAGGAATCTTTGATGCAGGAGGTGAGTGCAGGTAGTAAGATGGCATGTATGGTTCAAGGAGCATGAAGTTTGGGGTCAGATGGGCCTGGCTTTTAGTCTTGGCTGTACACCTCACTAGCCATGTGGCCTCCAGCTTGTGTTTGTCCTGAGTCTCAGTTTTGTCACCTGAAAAATGAGGATAAGTAATGAGATTATGTGGGTACAGCCTTGTCTCTCCACACTCCTCCACTGGCATTCTGAATCCCAGCTGTTCTAAAATACTGGCAATTTGCTCAATATTTCCATTCTCTCTCTCAACTCTGGGCCCTCCATGTGCATTCCAAGCATATGGATGACACCATCAGGAGGTTATAAACCAGGCCCTCATATGCTCCGATTTGGATTTTGGAAAGATTACTCTGCCAGCAACAAGGCATGGGGCATGAGGTCTGTGTATATGTATGTAAACTTAAAGGCCAAGAGAATCATGGGATATTCCCAGGCTCAGACAGCCTGGAAGCCCCCCACCCTCTCTTTCTTTAATTTTTTAAAATTTATTTATTTTCAGAGTGAGGGGAAGGGAAGGAGGAAGAGAGGGAGAGAAACATCGATGTGCCAGTGATACACTGATCAGTTGCCTCTCGCATGCCACCAGCTGGGGACCTGGCCCGCAACTCGCCATATGTACTCTGACCAGAGATTGAACCGGCTACCTTTCGGTTCGCAGGCTGGCACTCCATTCACTGAGCCACACCAGCCAGGGTGGAAGCCTCTGTCTCTGCCCCATCTCCCTTCCCCACCACTTCTCTGGCCTTCAGGTGCCTTGGGGAAGGCCAGTGGGGACACACCAGGCATGAAGGGGTGAGATTCTCTTTGGGCTAATGTCCCTGGCCCTTCTCAAACCAGGAGCCTGGCTACTCTACAGCTCTGGGTTGAGGTATACAGGCCATGACCCCATGGAGGTTATTGTCAGAGAGGCCATGGGCAAGTCACCCAGCTTTCCCAAACCTATTTCCTCATCTGTATAGAACAATCTTTATAGGGTGTGGGGATTCATGAGATACTGCCTACAAAGCTCTTAGGACAGGGTCTGGCTCAATATGTCTTGGGGCTTTATAAAAACCAAGCTAATGCTTAATACCATCTGTATGCCTGGTATTGCAGGAAGTCCTGAGAATAGAGTCCTCTAAGGACTGGTTTTGTGACTTTAAGGATGGGTTTAGGATTTGTGGATTTTGCTGACTGGGGACATAGAATTTTTAGGGGACAGTTCCATTTCTACGAATTTATCTGAAATATGTACACAAAGATTAGCTCTAAGTAGGTACATAGTAATGAATTTATAAAGTGAAAAATGAAATAGCCTTAACGTCCAACTCTAGCATATGGGTAAAATGGATAATGAGACAAGTAGAATATTATGCAGCCATTCAAGAGGAAGCATGGAAAGATGTTTATTATTAAGTGAAAATAATATACAAAACAATAGTTGTCGATCATAATTATATATCCACAGATATATATTTTTAAACATGAATGCTAATACACCCAAATATTAATAGTGGATATATCTGAATGGTTTTTCCAGTTTTTTCTTAGTTTATATTTCCTTTTTTAAATTTTCTACAATAAATGTGCATTTCTTTTGTGAAAAATATAGTAATATATGTATTAACTTTTAAATTATTTTATAATGTTATTAAAGAAGGTCATTTTTACTAGCTGTCCCTGTCCTTCTTCCCATCCTTCTCTCTTGACTCGATTGTTGATCACTTCCAGTAAACATGGGTTCATCATGCTAACATTTATTAACTTCAGAGTATCCTCCTTGCAAAGCGATGTAAAGGTGAGTACTCACCCTCTCTAGGTGATTTGCATGCACGCCAAATTTTGAGATGCGTTAAACAGGAGTTCTTTACTTTTCTCCATTTATTTATCCTCTTTTAATTCATTTCATCCGTTCAAACCTAGCTTGGGGGCGGTTATTTACTTTACGTGCGCACGCGCACTCCTAACGGTTAGTCGTGGGGGCAGCTCAGCCAGGAGGTCCCGCCTTCTGGCCGAACATTGGCCGGCTCCATCAGCTCGCCCCTGATTGGTGCCCGTGGGTTGGGCTTTGCTGCCTCTCAAAGTTGGCGGGAAACCGGCCGCCTAGCATAATGGCGGCAGCTGTGTCAGACTCGTTTTCCGGCGGCGGCCCTGCGGCGGTGAGGCTGCCGTCGTCCCCGCCGGTCAAGGTGCTGGCGGAACAGCTGCGGCGCAACGCAGAAGGCGGCCCAGGCGCGTGGCGGCTGTCACGGGCGGCGGCGGGCCGCGGACCGCTGGAGCTGACGGCCGTGTGGATGCAGGGCACGGTGGTGGCAGCGGGCGGCGGCGAGGCGCGGCTGCGGGACCCGAGCGGGGCCTTCTCAGTTTGCGGCCTGGAGCGGGTGCCGCGCGGGCGGCCTTGCCTCGCCCCAGGTAATGGCCAGAGTATAACTCGGGACTGACCATTGTTTTGTGCAGCCAGAGAGCAGGGCCTGGCAGTCCCTCCTCCGGGCCTTTGCAGATGTCGGTTTCCCTCTTCAGGACCCTTCCTTCCCGTCCCAACCCCAAACAAGCGTCATCCAAGCTGATATGAAGCTAAGCATCACTCGCGGCCGGATTTTTAAAAGTGTAGGTTTCTAGGACAACCTTCCCCAAGTCGTCCTAGTCGTAATCTCCAGGGAGGGGAGCCCCCCAGCACTTGTATTTGTAACAAACCCCCTTCTGGTGGGTGATTTTCCCATCAAGTTTTGGAAAATACTTTCCTAGGAAACGTCTGTTTATCTTCTATGTCTCGGAAGCCCTGCCGGACCCCGAGGAACGGGGAGCCCCACCTGCACCTGTTCTTTATGGAACTGCCTTAGTCTGTAGGTCACTAAAGCTTGTGTCTTTTAAACCAGAGATGCTCAAACTAAAGGGCGCACTAGACTCACCCCCAGGGCTGGTGAAAGCGCCTGGCTGGGCTCCACCCTCAGGATTCGGGTGTGTACGTGGGGGAGGAGATCTGCATTTCTTACCCAGCCTGGAGCTGAGCTGCCGCAGAGCAATTGCGTTGCTGGCCTGGCTGTCACACTTTGAGAACCACTGGGCCAGAAAGCTAAAGCGGTGATCAGGACTGTGCCTTTCTGACAACTGTATCTTCAGCATTAGGTTGAATTCCTAGCTCTGCCTCTTTCCAGCTGAGCTGCCTGGAGCACTTACCATAACTTTTCCTGCCTGTCAAAAGGGGCTCATAATTTCTTCCTGTTGTGTGGACTCAATACATAGAACACCGTCACACAGCTCCTGGCTCATAGTGAGGGCTCAAAAAACTGTGACCATTGTACCTTACTATGAAACACTCCCGTTGCCTTCTTGCCCTGGCCCCTGCCTCATTCTTCATCCTCCCTCCCTCTGTGCCCTCTGCAGCAGCGTTAGTCTGACACAGGATCAGTGAACTACATACAGGCCGCCCCATCTTCTCACATGGCTGCCAAACTAAAAATGGGTTTATAGTTTCACGTGGTTGAAAAGAAAAATTTTTTAATATTTCATGACATGTGAAAAGTATACAAAATTCAAGTATCACAACATATTCATTTACGTAATATCCAGAGCTGTTTTCCCATTACAACTACAGATTTGAGTTCAACAGACACTCTGGCCTTCAAAGCCTGAAATAGTTTACTATCTGGCCCTTTACAGAAAAAGTTTGCTGACCCTTGGCCTGGCATGTAACTTGAGCTGCTCCGTGTCTCCCATGTCTGGCCCCAGCCCTGGCATGAGGTTGGCACCAGTAGGTACCTGAACTTGTTTGACTAAACTGCTGCCTGAATGCCTGCAGGCAGGGACCATGCCATTTCCTCATGTTAATTAATACTGTCTTGATTGACAAAGCCTCGTTAACTGCCTTCAGGCAGGGAGCCAGGAGAGTAAACAGGCCACTAAAACAGTAATATCTAGGCTTGAGCACATGTTGCCAAAGGAGCAGGGCGGGGTCCAGGCTTGTAGGGTCAGGGAGGGCGTCCTGGAGTAGGTGACCCTGAAGGATGTGTTGGAGTTAACTGTAGAGACCAACCCTCCCAAGTTGCCTACGACTGAAGAGATCCTGGGCTGTGGGACTTAGAGTTTATATATTTATCCTCACCTGAGGGCATTTTTTTTTCATTGCTTTCAGAAAGGCAGGGACAGGGGGAAAGGAACATCAATTGGTTGCCCTCTCGTATACACCCCAACCTGGGTATGTACCCCTACCAGGGATCAAACCCACAACCTGGTATGTGCCTTGACCAGGAATTGAACCTGCAACCTTTTGGGCTACAGGATGATGCTCTAACCAACTGAGCCACACCAGCCAGGGTGGGACTTTTCGTTTTAAAACTAGAACAGTTGGTCACCCTATGTCTGTCTGAGGCAGGAGATCGTCCAGGTCTATGGAACAGCATGTGCAAAGGCTTGGAGGTGAGAGCCCCGTGCCTTTGGGGAGCCTGAGATAAAACATGGAACAGCAGTGAAAGGTGGGAGGGCTCCCTTCCTGCTTCAAGGCAGCCATTAGCTAGCTCTGTTCATCACATCAGTGCTATACCCCCACTGCTTTCTTCTCTGGAACAGCCAGCAGTTTGTTTCCATAAACGTCAGGTGCTGCATTGCAGAATTGAGTCAGAACTCTGCCTACCCTCAAGTTGTTCCCAGTCTGCAGGGCAAGAAGGGAGAAACAGTCAATGACCTAGATGGCATTGTGATCAGAGGGCTCTGGAGATTGTTGCCGCACTTGAGAAAGGTCACTGCAGCAGCAGGATAGTGATGTTTGTGAAGGGGAAGCAGCTGGAAGCAGACTGGCTGGAAGCCATTGAAGTGGCCGGAGGATGAAGGCCTGACCAAAGGGAGGGAAGGGGAAAGGTAGACAGTGGAGAGATACTGAAGGGAGAACGTATGGGTAGAATGAATAGGACGAGTAGCCAGGTTGTCTGATCTTGGGGAGGAAAGCACACATGCCTTCGAGCTCATCCCTCTGTGCCTTCATAGCGGGTCTCCTGTTAACCTCTCTTGGTTGGGATCTCCTTCGGCTTGTACCTTCTTTCCTGGGTCTTTAGTATTCTCTTTTTGAGGGCTTGATCTCTACCAGCACTTTAGAGCCATGAAGAGGGTACGGCAAGTGTATTTTTAGAACTAGCTTCTGTCACTGAAGAACCCCATGTTACTTGCTCATTAGACTCTGGAGATGAGTTCAAATAAACCTAAGTACGTCCTTCCAGGAGTTCAAAACCAGAGGGTCAGGTGTCAGCTTGCCTGGCTCCCTTCAGTCAGAGCCCTGGGGCCCGTGTGCAAACTCAGCGCTGCTGTTGGAAGCATTGTGATTAAAGCGGCCTCGAAGGGGCATGCAGCGGGAGCTGGCAGCATGCCTGCCCTTCCTGCTGTGTTTGGGGTTTTTTTACACAATTGAGTTTTGTGTGGTTAAGACCTGCCAAGTTTTGCTTTCAAGGAGAGCCACTTCCCCATGGGAATGGGAAGAGAGTCGTAGTTAATATGTCATTAGATCATCCTGATGGCAGCCTGCCCTCTTGCTGATTTGCTTATGTGTACCCAGCTGGTAGTCTGGAGAAAGCTGGAGGTGGCAGGGCAGCAAGGGGGGTGCTGTAGCTTGCCCAGCTCTTTTGGCAACATTGAGGGAAAATTGGGTTTGCTTTGGGGCTGTTAAGGGGGTATCTTTGCAGAAAGAGGGCTGGTCCCATGCACAAAGACCAGTCACATACTCTGTGGCATTGAGCAAGGAACAAGGGCGAGAGAAAAGCTTGGGTTTTCTGCCTCCTCTTGAGAGCGGTCTGTCTAATTGTAACTTACACTGTGATACAAGTCTCTTCTGTTCCTTGAGCATGATTGTTTTGTGCATGATGGTAGCTTGCTATAATTTTTTTTTTAACATTTGAAAATTAGACACCAAAGAAGATACAGATGTCATGTTCCAGGTTAAATATTGAACTTAGTGTCAGTATATATACATATTGATCGCTGACCACCTTGGCAATTTGATCTCTACTCTCTGCATTTTTTTTCTTTAACATCTCTAATTTGCCTCTCTGATAAAGTTAAGTCCTCTGAAGGACTGGGTCTGTTTTGTTTTTGTTTTTTCTATCAATGTGTGCATTACCATGGCCTTTTTTTCTTCTAGGAAAATATGTGATGGTAATGGGAGTAATTCATGCCTGCATCCCTGAGCCATGCCTACAGGCCGTGAAGATGACAGATCTCTCTGATAATCCTGTCCATGAAAGCATGTGGGCACTGGAAGTAGAAGATTTACACAGAAACATTCCTTAGACGATGTTGGAGGTGTCATTTAAAACAACTGAAATTCTGAAAGGATTTAGGTTCTTATACCATGTGGATTTCACGGACGTTGTTCAATGTGTATTTCTCAAAAATCTCTCAGAAAGCTGTGCTTTGGCTCACCAAGGAGTGCAGACGTAGGATTTCTTAATGCTGGGACCCACACTCCAGTTCACTCAGCCCCTGTCGCCCCTGTGCTTTGACGACTGTTTGCTGATGAAAAGCAGATGTGTTCATTTTCTCTCTTTTGGTTGATGTGTGTTAATTCTCTCTAAAGCACACAGAAATCTCATGTTGCATTTTTCAGGTTTTACTAGTGGTGATACTTTTTCCGTTGCCGCTTGGACCCTATTTTATGATGCAGACTTTGAATCTCAAGTCATTGCCCGAGGTGATTTAAGTGATTCTCAGTCAGGTGTGGTCATGGGCAGGCAAACAGACTGTGTGAAAGAAGAATGACATCAGGACCCCATGTCTTCTCCATCAACAACTTCCATATCCACTTTGCAAGTCAAACAGTTCAGCAGCCTCTCAAAGACACAGCTCCCTTTTGAACACCACTCAGCCCTCACTGTCCATTTCCCATAGAGGTGGGTGATGATAGGAGATGCTGAAATGCTTTCAAGATTTCTTGTTGAAACTAAAGATTGATTGGGAACAACTCTCAGGCAACTGCTAACTTCTGCCTCTTAACTTTTGATGAGACATTGGAAAGGAGCCTCCTCCTGGTGTAGAATTCTTAATTTTTAGTACGGAATGACCTTTTGTTGTGATTGTATTGAACACTGGGTTTCTGCTTCTTGCTTCTAACCCAACCTCTTTTCCCCTTAGATTGTAAATGTCAAAGAGGCCAGTGTTTGTTCCAACATTGCTGTAGAGTTTTGCTGGATTATTAATCATCTACCACTAATAAATTGTTTTATATGCTGTATGTTTTTTAAATAGACTTTTTAAAGAGCATCTTTAGATTTATAGGAAAAAGCAAAAAGTATATAGTCCTATATACCCCCTTCCTCAGTTTCTCCTATTATTAACATCTTGTGTTGGTGATACACTTGTTATAATCGATGAGCCAACATTGATACATTATTATGAACTAAAGTTAAGGGTCACTCTTTGTGATAAACAGTTCTATGAGTTTTATATTTATTTACCCTTATAGTATCATACCGCATAGTTTTACTCCCCTAAAAACCCTATGTGCTCCACTAATCATCCCTCCCTCCCCCTTTTCGCCTTGCAACCACTGATTTTTTTTCTACCATCTCCATACTTTTGCTTTTTCCAGAACACCATATAGTTGGAATCATACAGGATGTAGTTTTTTTTTTTCAGACTGACTGACTTCACTTAGCAATATGCATTTAACATTTCTCGATGTTTTTCTGCAACTTGATACTGATTTTATTGCTGAATAATACTCCATTGTATGATGTACTATGCTCTGTTTATCCACAGACCTTTGAAGGACATCCGTTTGATTCCAGTTTTGGGCAATTATTAATAGAAATTTTTAGAGAGAGGGAAAGAAACATTGATTGGCTACCTCTTGCGCACACCCCAACTGGGGACCAAATGCGCAACCCAGGCACGTGCCCTGACCGGGAATCAAACTGGCAGCCTTTCATTTTGTGGGATGACGCCCAGCCCACTGGACCACAGCAGTCAGGGCTGCGGACATGTTTTCACCTTACTGGGTTAAATGCCTGGGAGCACACCTGGTGATCATATGGTAAGCCTATGTTTAGCCTTGTAAGAAAATACCAGACTGTCTCAGTTCGTTTGGGATTCTATGACAAGCACCATAGACTAGGGGGCTTAAAACCAACTGAAATTTATTTACAGTTTTGGAGGCTGGGAAGTCCAAGAGCAATGTGCTGGCAGGTTCAAGGTGCTGCTTCCTGGTTCAGAGACGGCTGTCCTCTCCGTGTCCTCCCACGGCAGAAGAGAGAAAGCAGCTCTCTGGGGTCTCTTGTAAGGGTACTAATCCCATTCATGACGGCTTTGCCCTCGTGATCTAACGACTTCTCAAAGACCCCACATTTTAACATGGGAATTTTGGGGGAACACATATTCAGTCAATAGTGCTGTCTTCCAAAGTACCATCTTGCTTTCCCATCCACAGTACCTGAATTTCTGTTCCATATCCTCACCAGTATTTGCTGCTTTTCATGTTTTGGATTCACTACATTTTTAAACTATAGCACTTTCTTTTAAAGGTGGGCAAATTAGAAATAATGCATTGTGTTTATTAGTGATCTGGGTTTATTGACGTTTTGAAGCTTCTTTTGAGCAGGTTTATGTTCAAAGTTTGGGGATTTTAAGGCAATGTTGATGAGCTCTTTCTGGAACATTGCAGCCTTATAGACCTGAATATGAGCTTTTCATCTGTTGCTAAACTTGCTGTGAGACTAAGCAAGTTATCTAACCTCTCTGTGCTTTAATTTCCTCATCTATAAGGTGCAGATTGTACCCAGCTCATAGCACTGATGTGAGGAATAAATGGGGATTCATTTAAATCACTTTCATATGTGCCTGGCACATGGTGGCCACCAAATGATTGTTGTTGGAAGGAGTAGTAAGTTCTTATTTATATCCATCAGTTGCCTTTAAAATATAAATATATATGTATTTATTTAGAACAGTTTTATTTCTACAGAAAAATTGTAAAAACAGTACAACAAGTTCCCATATATTACATCATTTTCTTTGCTTTTAACATCTTACATTAGTATGGCACATTTGTTAAAATTAATGAACCAATATTGAGATGTTATTATTAACCAAAGTCTATACTTTAAATTTAGATTTCCTTAGTTTTTTTTCCTCTAATTTTCTTCTCCTGTTCTAGAATCCAACCCAGGATACCCCATTACATTCATTCCTCATGTCTGCTTAGGCTCCTCCTGGCTGGGGCAGTCGATCAGTTGCTTTGGTTACACTGACTTTTTGTAGTCCATGGGACCTCTGCTATAGGATTCTTAGGTTAAAGCTTTATTCCAAAATTATTATGGAGTTCCTAATAGTAGCCCTTGAGCTGGGTGTGTGGTAGGGCTCTGAAGACCTTACACTGAGGTTCCCCTTATCTGAAAACTTTTCTGCTAGAAAACTGAGGCAGGCTGCCGAGAACCTGCTGTACCATATTCTACCCATTTGTCCCCACCTAACTTCTGGTAAATAATGCCCAGTTGAAATTCTAATTGGGCTGGTATTGCTTTCTGAGCAGTGAATGAACTCAGGAGTGTGGGAGGTGGGAAAAGGACGGTGTCCTGTGTTTTGCTGACAGTACCCACAGGTTGCCAGTGGCTCCCAGTGTCTTCTTTGGAAGTGTGCCGCCTCAGCATGTTAGCTGAGCTCTTGTGGTTTCCTTGAATATTAATAACTCTCACTGTTTCAGCTAGCGTTTCCTCATTGACATCACCAAATGAAAACGCATCTCGGGTAGGGGTTTTAGTGTTCTGGTACCAAATCAAAGTCGGTTTATCACCAACCACCCCTCACCAGACAAGGGCAGACTGTGTGCTCGGGCTGTGCTGCTTCCCTTTTGAAATTGGCTCTTTTCTAAGAACTGAAAATAAGCACCCTAGGCTGTGACTTCACTTTTCTTGGAACTGCTTTACATTAGAAGAAGAAGAAGAAAAAAAAAAGAAAACCCTCATTTAGATGGTTTTGGATCTGAGTTCCTTAGTTCTTTCTTTTGCATATTCTTGTAAAGCTTATGTTTTACCACAAAAATCTTGTGTATCAGGTGAAGAAGGAAGGGGAAAGAATGACCATGTGAACTAGTTGTGTTTTGCCTCCTGGTCTGTTTGTGTATGATTTAATGGCCAAGGAGAAGGAGGACTTGGAAGACACACTGTGTGTAGTTGTCTTCAAATCCCAGGGGCACTGGCCGTGACAGTGTGGCCCTGAGATCGGTATGGTTACCAAGTGGCCCATGTTGCCTAGGCTCGTGTTGCTAAACCTCAGGCCATGGTCAAAACTCACGGAAAATCTGCTTGTCTGCAAGAATAAGGGTGAAAAATGCATTTTCAGCCATTGTGACCTACATTTAGCAGACATCTTGTAGCCTGTGCCAAAGGACACATTTTAGGACCCCCCCACCTGCTTAGAATAAAGGAGAGACTTAGCCACAACCAGGCTTCAGTGCTGGCCCTTTCCTGTCTGTGCTTGGGCTTGGAGGTCAGTCTGTGAAATGGAGATAATTTGTCCAAAGGATGGTACCTGCTAGGTTCATGGAAACTGGATTAGAATCCCCGTCTCAGAGCAGGTCTTTGGATATAGAGAGGCACATTCTGTCTACATTGGAAGGGCCTCCAGCGATGTGATCATATCTTATTTTTCTCTCTCTCCACCCAACATCAGGCCTTATGTAAGATATATATATATAGGCAGTAAGTAAATGTTCAGTGAATGGTTGGTTTTTAGGTAGGAAGGCAGAGGAAGTATACATGCAAAGGCATAACATTCTTGAATTTACACTTGGCACACACAGTTTTCAAATGAACAGAGCCCTTCCAGTCCATGCCTAAGTGTACCTTTGAAGTCAGGCACCCCGGGCTATTTTGTAACCAGGCTGAGGGGGCTTGCTAGAATGTTTTAGAGTGTTCAGAAGTACAGATAAGGACGATTTGGTAAAGACAGGAAAGTCTGAAGAAAAAGGAGAGAGACAGCTGAGTCAAGGGGGAAAAAAAGGATTCTAGTCCTACAGGAATCATTAACCATTTCTCGATAAAGAATGCAAATTCAGCCAAGAGTTATGTGCCAGGGACTGCTAGAAGCTTTTTCCTGTATTCATTTTACTGTGTCATTGTCCCTATGGCTATGGAAACTGCAGCCAAGGGGATGGAAGTCCTTTGCCCAAGAGCATCGGCCGGCAGGCTGTGGCAGGGACAGGTCTCAGGCCTTTTGGTGTCCCACAGTGTAGGGGAGGTGGCCAGTGCCTTCATTCTGAGATGGATGTTATGGAGAAACTCCTCAGACCTGCTCTGGAAGCTCATGGTCCTTTTTTTTTTGAATGTTGGGTAGTACAGTCAGACCTGTGATATTCTCCCATAAGGGGGCTGCTGTCTCCAATGCTTTTTTCTAGGAGGATTGTATCAGCAGTCTTGCTTCCCCAGACTCAGCCTTAGTCCTCCAGTGAGAGCTCATGGTCTTTAGGTGCTAGCACCCCCTGCTGGCCTGTGCCATCTGAAATGGAATGGCAGCCAGGGACCACAGAAAGAAGCAAAGGAACAAAAACGGCGCCATAAGCTTCACAGCTGTCCACCCTGGACGCGTTGCCTATTGTGGCCAACCCATCTTGAGGATAGGGGGTGGGGCATGGCATTGGATTTGGCAACCAGATGGGTTCCAATGGTCCTGCTTTGAGCCCCAGCCCTACTATTTATTAACAGGGTGACCTTAGGAGAATCACTTCCCCTTCTCAGAGACTTATTTCTGTCATCTGTAGTGAAGGGGTGATTTGGAGTCAGAGAGGTCAAGTAGCTTGTCCACATGGCTGCTAACTGGAATCAGGCAGTCTTACGTGAAAGGGTCAAGTCAGCCCCATTTGCTATGTGTCACCATTGCCCAGCATGCCTATGACCTTGTTAAATATCACTGCCATTTTATTCTGAGCTTATTCCCCCAGGACTGGAAATTACTGGAAAGCAAGAACAGACTAACTGCTCCCTACAGTCACAGGCAGAGGATAACATTGGAACCCAACAGCTCTAGGCCCGCACAACAGCAAGTCCCCGCCCCCCCCCCCACCTACACCCTTTTTTAATCCAATTATAATCCAATAAAAGCTCAAAGGCCCCGCTCCTCAGTGCTGGTGTATCTCTCCACACCATGCCCCTCTCCTTTCTGGGAGAGTGAATGAAATATTTACTCTACACTTTCTTCTCTCTGTGAATTCTTTCACAGCCTGTGTCACCAACCACCCTAATATTAGATGCTCAAAAAATGTCCACTTCATTGGTCTTTCTGTCACCAAGCACTTCCTCAGCACCTGCTGGGTTCCAGAATACATTCACCCTGTCCCACAGATCCCTAAAGTTCTCATCCCATTTACATCATCAACTCAAAGTCCAAAATCTCACCATCTAAATCATCTATATCTGGTGGTGGGGGTGGGGCGGTTGCTCTAGATATAATCCATCTGTGAACCTGTGAAACTCAAGAAATAAGTTAAATCTGTCACCAAAATACAATGGTGGCAGCCTAGAGGAGATGCAGTCTAGTTCTGTCCCTGGTCAAAGGGACCAGGGACGTGACATGAACAAGAAAAATGAAGAAGTAATGAGGCTTTAGTGCCTGGAAATGCCAAACTATTACATTTCCCTTCCTCCTGAGCCAAACAGAAAAAAAGTTTCTCAGACCAGTCTGTTAGCACCTAAATCCATTCACTGAGATGAGGAAAGAGCAGAGCCGGAGTTTCCATTAAATATTTAGTGTCCATTTTGGAAAGTAAATAAGACTCGTCTTCACGTGCCCAACTGTGCTGCCTCTGTGTGCAGAGACTTTCCCAGAATACTCCTGATCCTGGACTTCCTGCACTGGGCCTTGGGGCTGTAGGGGGCATGGCTGCTTACCAGCTCTACCTGGGATGTCTTCAACCTTGTCTCAACCCTTTCTTTAATTAAAATCTTTGTGGGTGGGCTCAGGAAAATCTAGGTGTTTAGAAAGCTCTCTGGTGAGTCTTATAACCAGCCAGGTGTAGCAGCCATCTATCTACAGTTTCCTGGCCTGAGGCAACTGGCCAGGAGTCAGAGCTGCCCCCACACTGGTTGATTGCTGAGCCCTTTGCCTCCTCTGATGGGGACCCTGGAGCCCGGCAGAGCTAGGCCTTAGCCAGGGGGAGGACAAATGAAGAACTCAGGAGCCCTTAGGGCCAGGACCAAGGGGCCACTTGTCCCTCAGTTTCCCTGAGCAGGAAGAGAAACAGGATGGAGAAATCTCATACAAAGGAACTGGGCTAGGCCCCCCACAGGCTGTTCTGGACGAGCCTCGACCTTCTTGGTGCTTGGGCTGCTATTAAGGGCAGTACATGGTAGAGATACCAGGTTTTCTTTTTTTTTTAAAGTGAGTCCACTTAAAGGAAAATATTAAGTGAAAAATAGTATGGGTGGTACATGAATAACCTATGTTTGAGTAGACTGCTTTTACTTGGTGTTCTAGAACAGCAACTTTCAACCTTTTTCATCTCATGGTACACATAAACTAATTACTAAAACTCTGTGGGACACCAAAAAATATATTCTCTGCTGATCTGACAAAAAATTGTATAGTTTTTGATGGATTTATAAAAAAAATAGTAATAGTAATTACCTACACGTTTTGCTCCAAAGTGACTTTTTAAAAAATCAGGTGCCTATACTTGTGTATAAGGATTTCTGGTACCAAGAAATTATGAAGAATTGACCAATCAGATGCAACCTTATTATGTGTTGTGACCAATAAGATGCAACTTTATTTATGTATGACCTGTATATATGGTTCAAGGCAGGGCATTCACACCAGCAGCTATTGTTGTGTTGGCTGTTGTCATTTTTTAAATTTGACAATGTAAAGGAAAAGAGGTCAGTGCCCTTGACTAAATAGTTATGTATTGCCCGTTTTAAAAATTCCTGTGGCACACTAGTTGAAAATTGCTGTTCTAAATATGGTTGCACTGTCCAAAATGGTAGCCACTAGCCTGTGTAGCTATTGAGCACTTGACCCCCTGTTAGGGTTGCCAAGTTTAGTAAATAAAAATGCAAGCTACCTCCTGCTCCTTAAGCATGGGCTGTGCATGGTAATTTCCCTCCAAAGAGGACACTGTGGAAAGGCGTAGTGAACAGAGTAACTTTACAGCAGAGATACCTGACAAACACACTTCAGTCAGGTGATCCAGGCTGACATCAACAGTGACAGGTCACGCTGATAGTATATGCCCTTTGTATAACATCATGAGAATGACACTTTACCTCTGTGATCTACCTCTACCAAACCCATAACCCTTGGTCTACTCGTGAGAAGAACATCAGACAAATCCTAATTGAGAAAAATTCTACAAAATACCTGACTTGAATAGTCCTCAAAAATTGTCAGCTCATCAAAAACAAGGAAAGTTTGAGAAATCATCACAGTCAGGGCAAACTGGATTGCCCTGGATCTGTGCTGACCGATACCACAGCCTCTAGCCCCACATGGCTATTTAAATTAGGTGGCACCTAAGGAGACTTGATGGCTCGATGTGATGTGGGATCTTGGAGTAGAAAAAGGACTAGGAAAAACTAGGAAATCTGAAACGGAGTGTGCCCTTTAGTTAATAATAATAATAATAACAACAACAATATATTAACACTGGTCCATTGATTGAAACAAATGTATCATACTAACGTAAAATGTTGATGATGGGGGAACTAAGTGACAGGTATATGGGGACTCTGTGCTCTTGCCACAATTTTTCCATAGATCTAAATTAGTTCCGAAAAATTAATTTTATTAATTAAAAGAAACGTAGGCTGCCCAACTAAATTTGAATTTCAGATAAACTAATACATTTTTAGTATAAGTATGTCCCATGCAATATTTGGGACTTAGTTCTACTAAAAAATTATCTATTTATCTAAAATTCAAATTTAGCTGGGCATCCTATATTTTACTGAATTTGAACATCCACATGTGACTGGCATTGGGCGGCACAAGTCCAGAGCTGTCCGGCTTGCCTTCAGGTCAGCATTTAAGAAAACAGGTGAGACAACTGAGGCCCTGAGAGGTTCTAGACTTGTTCAGAATCTTCTAATTCCACCTAACCTGGTCCGTAGAGCAGGGAAGGAACAGTGCTCTATGGGGCCTGTAGGAGCCCAGTACAGCAGTGTTGGGATGCTTGGAAGTCTGGAGAGGCGTTGAGGATGCAATCTTTGGTGGGTGTGACAGCTGGGACTGGTGCTTGAGGCCATCGGTCAGGGACCTTAGCACCAAGTAACAAACAGGCAGAAACCTAGCAATTTGTCCAACACGGTATGGTTGGGTCCTCTGCTCAAGGCCTCACTGGGCCGAAATCAAGGTGTTGACTGGCAGAACTCTTTTTAGGAGGCCGTGGGAAGAGTCCATTTCCAGTCTCCCTCAGATTGTTGGCCAAATGTGGTTCCTTGAAATTGCAGGTCTGAGGTCCCCATTTCCTTGCTGGCTGTAAGTTGGGGGCTGTTCTGAACTCCCAGAGACCACTTTCATTCCTTACCATGGACACCCCTCCATCTTCAAGCAGCAACAGGGTCAAATTCTTATGCTTCCAATCTCTGATTCCCTCGTCTGTCCTCCAAGCCCCAATTTAAAGGACTCATATGATAAAGTCAGGTCCACCCACTTTAAGGTCAGCTGACATGGGACTTTATATCTCTAAATTCCCTTCACAGCAATGCATACATTAGTGTTGGATCGAGCAGATGCATGTACGCCAAGGTGGAAATCTTGGTGGCAGCAGCTTAAAGCTGTCCTCCACAAGGACCTGGCAGATGCAACAGCGTGAGGAGTAAAGCAGGTTCCAGAGACAGCTAAGATGGTTTCAGGTCCCAGCTCCACCACCACTCAAGGTGTGTGTGGCCTGGAGCACACGGCCTTCTTGAGCCTCTGTTCCCTCCTCTGCAACATGGGAATAAGAATGACCCTGTTAAGCTCGTCATGTGGACTGTATCTGACCGACTGATGCTCTTCTCACTTTCCAGTGGCCAGAGCTGCCCAGCTTTATAACACAGACATGAGAATAGTATTTTCCCAGTTTTCTCCACATTCTCCGCCTTTCTGGCTCATGTCAAGGCTTTTTAAGGAGCATGAGCTCATCGCACTGGGATCTCGGTCTCCCCAGTTTGGCAGACTGGACCAGACTTGGCATGGGAAAGAACTGTCAGTGAGAAAAAAATCTTTTTTAAAAAATGTATGCATGTAGTAAAATGCATATCCAATTGCAACACAAACATAATTGCCCTCATTGGTATGTGTGAATGAGCCCAAGGTAGGGAGTATTTGGTATGTCCAAGTTAATTTCCACCCACTCATAGCACAGCTCATAGATGATGAGACCCTTGGTGTTAGTGTTCTGGAGGAGGCCTTTTGCCATAAGCATCCTGTTTATCCCATGGTTATGGGCCTCTGGTACCCAAGCTGCTTGAAA